CATATTAACAACCTGACAATTAAGCAGATTGTGACATTTCGTGCTACCATACCCAATATCTAAAATCCTTCAAATTTTCTTATTAATGTTTTGTCGATTTAAAAATATTTTGTTTTTAAGCATAGCATAATAAGAAATAAACAAGAAATAAGTGTGAAATTCCACAACATTTCTTTGAAACATTTTGCAACATGAAGCTAGCCACACAATTTTCATGACATTTTTAAATACACATGTATATTTTAAATTGTGTGAAAGCTGACAGTTTATAGAATTCAGTAGCGACGAAAACAAAGGGGGGTTAAGTGGTTAAACCTTACCCAAGCCGATCATAAAACTTGCGACGCAATTTCGGCTTATGCCTGTGGGTCTTGGCAAGAATATAATCCCTGAAGGTTTAGCTTAAAATGGTTTTCGGGATACACCCTGTGATCATGTTACTTTCCAGAAGGCGTGGCGCCCGTACATATTTTCGTTGGAAAAATACCTTATCTCTGTATTCTAGGTAAATGCTTCCAGAGGTTTTTATGCGTCAACAGAATTTTAGTTTATTTGGCTTATACCGCTAGCTCTTTTGAACGGCTACGAGATTGTTTTCATATACCCCCATTTTTCATAGGTTTGGGATTGATTTCATTTACCTCTATTTCTAGTTCTACGGTGGCATGCCGCATTTTCCAATAAACTCTTATTTTTCCATGAGCTTAAGATTGACTTCATATACATATCGTCGGTCCCTACGAAGAGTAGCACATTTCACTATTCGCGTGGAAGACTAGCACATTTCACTATTAGCGTGGAAGACTAGCACATTTCATTATTCGCGTCGAAAAGTAGCACATTTCACATTTTTGCGTGGAAGAGTAGCACGCGACGAAAAAGTGACAATGGAACTACCTTGTTTTTTGTATCATGGGAAAAACTAAAAATTTGAGAAACTGAAACAAGATGATCAAAAAAGTTTCCAAACGTTAAATAAAAAAAAAATATAAATTTTTTGAGCAATGAAACTAAAGAAAAATTTATAAAAAAATTCGATGCCGAGGATTGAACTCGGATCTCTTGAATGGCTCGAAAGTGCTCTGCTCACTGGGCCATTGCCATTGTTACAGCAACTTTATCGAAATTGAAATTTATTGAAAACAAACAAAAAATTTCAAAATCATTCGTTAAAAAGTTAAGTAAAGGTTTTTGTTTACTTAACTTTAATGTTCATTAAATGCCGTTAACAAATCATTAACTGACTCTGAGAGGGAATTTTTTCAAATCGTTACTGAGGGATACCTTAAGTAATCATTAAACGACTCTGAGTGCGGCTGTTAGTATTATTTTTTTAGGTTTTTGAAGAAAATATGCAACATATTTTTTATTTAATATATTTAAAAAAAAATATTGCTAAAATACAAACAGAATAACGCTAAGACCTCCTCATTAGCAGATCTTTTAACTACTCTTTCGAAAGACAGAAAAGAGCATTTAAGATAGTTGCCAGAATTGACTATTGTCTTACAAAAGAGTGTGATGAGTTGAAAGACAGTTTCCAGAATTGCCCTCTCTAGTTTTGGAGTGCTATACAGAGGAGTTAATATCCTACTGCATCGGACAAATGGTCACAAGAAAATAGAGAAGAATCAAGTAGCTGATAGCTTAAACAGAGAGGCAGCAGTAAAAATTCTAAGTAAGATTCATTCATTCCCAATGACGACCAATGATGAGGTTGGGGAAAATTACAGGAATAGGTTATTTTTGGGGGGCGTCATATAACTAGAATAGAAATACAGCTGGGAATGATCTGTTGCTTCTGTGAACTGGCCAGAGAGACACCATCAAAAATATTTCCTCTGAGTGCACGAACATCCCCAAGAGGTGAGAATGAAAATAAGTAAGGCTCAATGTGCCCGTAGTATAAACACACTGACGCTACTGCCTTCCCCAAAGGCTCTTCTGAAATCTCTGCGGAAATTAAGATTTGGCTCTAATTAAAACGTCCTGTGACAACTCTATCACCCAATCTAACAATAATTGGAGTTAATCACAATTACTCTAGCTAGTTTAATCATTAAAATTATGCTCTTTAGTTCAAGTTATATAAAACATGTACTTACCTTTTCCATCTCGGATGCACAATACCTGACGTATTAGAACTTTGCTTGCTGTCTGAAATTGGCCTACAAAATTTATGCATTTCTTGTTGATATGGCTTACTGAAGATTTGCACTTGACCTCTTTCAAAATTGCATCGATAGTTGCGGAATTCAGCGATTTTTTTTTCTAATTTTTGCCTAGGAATGTTTGTTTTGCCGAAAATTAAGTTTTTGGAAAATTTGGTTGTTGGAAAACATTTTTATAATCCGCTGGGCATTATTCAAGGCGAAATTGAAGTTTATTTCAGTAATTCTTGTTGAAAACATCAACCCAAGCAGCGATTAGTGGAGGAGCAAAGTGCCGAGAATTTCATTTCACGAGTTTCCAGAATTTTAGATGTAGATAGCATTCGTGTTTGATTGGAGTACTTTTCTTAACATTTATTTATTTATTTTTTTGTATTTTTGTATTTTAGGAGTGCACACATTAAGACAAAAACTGATAATAGAATTTTGTGTATAAACAGCACACTTAAAACGAAGCATAACAAAAAAAAGAAAAAAAATAGCAATGTCTACCGTTTCCACGCCACAGACAATTGCACGCTCGCCCGTTCGAGCGTTGTTGTAGAAAAATTTAAGTCTATATGACTGGCTGCTAATCAAGAGCCATGCTAGAGTTTAACTTTAGTATGTATGTATGTATGTATTTAATCGTAATCAGCGATTTTTTTCCGCTCGCATTTCATCTAAACTATACGCACACCCGCCTGATCGCAGTACTTCTGCAGTGCCTGCTTGTGATTATCGCCAATGGCAGCCACCAAAGTGGGCACTTCACCCGGACGTGCTTGTGCCAATTTTGCCAATGATTCGGCCAAGTACTTCCGGCCATCCGTAATTTGGGCAAGGAAATCTTGTGATTTCGGCTGAGCATAGCTGAGCTGTGAAAAAGCGGCCTGATAGCCTGGTGCATCGTCAACTTCCACGAAATGATCGCCATCCAATGTAGTTTGATCGGGCGGCAGCTCGAAGAGTTCAACTAACGCTTGCAATAACGGTGACCAACGTTGCACGTAGGGTGGCGTTAGCATTGGAGGACATTCTGTGAGTATTTTGGCAACACCCACAGCTACTATTTTACGATCCATCTCCGATGACACCTTGGCCATGTCCGGTATGAAGACACGTTCGACAACCATGCCAAACATATTCGCCTGTATTTGATCGATCAGCTCAACCAAAGCGGGTGCGCCCAACTTTGCGGTGTAGTAGCAAAGGAAAACTATAATGCCGCGCACGTATTTGGTGGTCTTCGACAGCGAAAGACGCTGGAATAGCAAAGCGAATATCTGACGCATATTAGGCTGTAAATCGGCGGTGGGGTAGTAGGCAAGCAAATTTTGCATGAGATAGAATCCCTCATGATCATTCGATTTGGAGGCAATCATTTTCTGGAAAATACCTAACACCGCATTCTAAAATAAATTACAAGAAATTTCGTTAGCAGTATGTCTCCCGGATTCAATACGATCGAAGGTAATTACCAATTTGCCTAACGCAACTATTTGGGCAGCGCCTTGCCTGATAAATGCTGTTATAAGCCGTATAAGCGGCGTAACATTGCCTGGGCGATCCCACAGTGCAGGTACTAACAGGCAGGGAAAGAGCGCCCAGTACGGGTCTGGTATAGAGCCGCTGCCTTCGCGTATTTCCAGTAACAACGATAGCATTTGGAAAACGTAGGGCATGAATTCCAAAATATCTTGCTGCAAAATGCCTTGGAATACGGGAAACAGAGCTTCCTCAAAGGAACTAACAGCGGCGGGTTCTGTTTTGCAAACAATTCTGAAAGCATAGGTAAAATAATTTACACAAGTCTTATGTTAAGGCTGCCAATTGCATACTCACTTTACGGCCAAAGAAAGCGTTTCGAAGAGATAGTGATTGAAATGCGGGCGTGATGGATTTTTCGCCACTAAAGTTAGAATTTCAGTTAAGCGCGGCAAAGCCACAGCCATATACGGCATGGTGGCTTCCTGCAATGTTGAAAAGCTGCGCATAATAGCTGCAAGTAGCAAGTAAAAAATTTCAATTATATACATAGCACAAAGGGGAGATATTTAAAAACACTTGTTTGCAAACCTTTCATCACATATTCGTTTTCACTTGAACCCTGCAATGCCAATGTGCCAAAGAGGCTGCCAAGCAAATCATTTGTAAACGGCGCCAAATGCTGAGCGCCAATAATCAACTGTTGATTACTATCACGCATTACTAATATCTTTTCGATTGCACAAGCTGCATAACTGTGCACCACAACGCTCTCCGCCGGCAGGTGGCGTATTAAGTGTGGAATGCAAGCGAGCAGTGTCTGCGGACCCAAAAGACTACGGAAAACCATGACAAATTTGATAGCAGCAGACTTCAGAACCGGTAGCTCATTGACTATAAATTAAGAAATGTATTACGGCATGCCTAGATGTGCAAATAATGAACCAAACTTACTGTTTGGACGCTCCAACTCTGGCACAATGTGCTGTGCACAAAATTGTGGCAGCGGTACCAATTCTGATGCATGTGTAATGCCATGTTTCTGTGTGCCGCCACGTGAAGCCAGTGATGTAACCAAATAAATCGCCGTATCCTTGGCGCGCCAATTAGCGAGTGGATTCTCTTTGTACTTGCCAAGCAGTATTTCCAAATATTGCCCGAATATTGCAAATATTTTTGCCTCGAAATTCTGACTTAATGTCTTTACGAGATCACAAGCCGCGCGGCGGCGTGTATCTATGTCAGAGCCTTCAATATCCCGGCGTATATACTCTTCGGGGCTGTCTTCGAATAACTCTTCATCGGATTGACGGAAATCCAAATTGGGTATGACCACTTTCTCACAAATATTGGCAAGTATTTCGGGATTTTCGAATATTTTGCGATAATGGTTGCGCTCAGCGACCACTGAGAGAAATTGCAAAGCATTTGACACGAGCTGTAAAGACAAATTTAAAGAAGGTGATACTTACTACATAGTTGTAAGATATTAAAAGTTTTACACTTTCTATACGCACCGCATCATATTTAGTCTGATTACCGGTCTTCACCAACAATTCCCACACAGCAGTTACAAATGTTTGCATATAGGAGCCGAACTCCTCATCGTACTTTTGCGCATACAAACCGATATTCTCACAGATTTGTGAACGCAAATGCTCCAATACGCCCGCATCTTCATCATCGCCCGTATGCAAACAGGGCAAATCGACCGTCAATAACTCATGGAATGCCTTCATCCAGGTGGGCATATTATCTTCAAAGAATTCTGGCAAATCTTGCGAATTTAGCGAGAAAAATACTTTGCACACCAACACCAAAGAGCCATAAATAACCTTCAGCGCTTCCGTATTGTTTTCATGCACTTTGGCCAACTGCATGGTGGCAAGCAATAAATCGGTCAAAGGTTTGGCCATGCGATCCAAAACCAATTTGATTTCTTCCCACAAGCTCTGAGATTTAAATTCGTAGCGATAGCGCTTGAATAGGGAATGGGCCGTTTGTAAAACGCCATTAATAATATTAAAATCACCGGTGGCAAACTTTTCCACCATCTCATCGATGAGCTGTGGCCATTTCTTTGGAAAATCATGCTTGCCTATAATGCTTACCGCATCGCTGAGTTGTTTTTGCAATGCCGACGGCGAACGCAACATCAGCGTAACGATGAGCGTTTTAATTGCGTTACGATCATCTTGATGTATCTTATCTGGGCCGTCTGTGTCCTGTTGTGCATGAAAATTGTGTAAAATTCTTTGCAACTTACATATCCATGCATATCTCAACAAAAGCTTACCTCATGCGCTGCCCAATTACGTTTCACATAATTTTTAAATGCAATGGCTCCGGCAACACGTATGGTCATATCCACTTCCTGCTTGTCGATGAGATTCAACAAAAGCACAGCATAATTACGCTGCACCTCAATTGATTCTAACAATTTTTCAGCTGTAACAAATGCAAGCACACATAAATTGCAAATACATATATGTAAAATTCATAGCGTATTGCTGCGCACCTGGTCTTCGCACATTTGGATCGGGGCTGAGCGTCTGCTGCAAGTAGCCGGCTAATTGTTGCAAATTCGTCTCATTTATCTCCATATTTTTGTTTGTGGGTTTATCGGACTGCACAAAGTGTTAAATATAAGGTTATTGAATTTTTATTCCGAATTCCTCGCGCTATTTCACAAGATCACACACAATCAGTTGAAAAAATATAGGCAGATCGGCGGAATTTGCAAATCACACAATTGGAAACGAGCAGCAACGAATGAGAAATGTGAGAAACGCGCGGTTGACGTCAGTGATCGGACTTCTACCACATTATGATAGGTCTGCCCTTTTTTTTGAACATCTACTACATCTACCACACAAGGTCTGAAAAATTTAACACATTCGCGTTTTTGTCTTACAAAGAGTATTTAACGGCAGTGATGTTTGCAATTTAGGTGAAACCTTGCAGAATTTCTTTAATTTTTGTACAAAGTGTGATCCAAGACGTACGATCTAGCACATTTTTTTGAAATCTGCCACGATTTTTTCCACGATATACCAGACAAATTATGGGGAGTCCGATCACTGGTTGACGTGAATCGAAAACCGTTGCTTTTGCTATTTTGCTTTGTGCACATGTTCGCCTTATATGTACGACCGCATATGAAGTTGGGTGCGGTTTGTAGGGTAAAGTGAAATAAGTGACAGCCGTTTGCTAGTGATGGAGACGGGATTGCACAGTGTGTGGGAAATAATGAAATCATTGAGAAAAGTTAATATTAGCTGATATATGGGACTCATGTTTGAATAATTTCCCAGTAAATATTTGATATTCGCCACTTTAAAACTATAGTTTACTTAAGAGAATTATCCTAACCATATATTTGAATATACATTAACTATTATATCTATTAGAAGTTGTGTCTTACTGCCTTTTCGATAAAAAAAATTATGGCTTCGAATAAAAACGTCGTCAGAGCAACGAGTATAATGCCATAGGTCAATTTTTCATATGACCCCAAGGGTTATCAAACATGAGTCCCACAATTTTAGGGTGGTCCGCATTTTTGCACCATCGACGTTTAAACAAATCGAGTTCTAGCCCAATCTCCTTTGTCCAAGTTGTACATAAGTGCGGAAATGGGTTTGCGAAGGAAATGTTTTCGTTTCTAGAAGTGAAAGTTTGGTAAATAGGAATGATTTACAAATATTTATTTATTTATTTATTTAATCAAATGGAATAAAATCCTTACTGACTATAAAACAAGAGAGCTTATACACCGCCGAAAACTTACCAAGTTGACTCCAACTGTTGACGTATTGATTTCGGCCAATTAAAGATTAGGTCCCGTCGCGGAGAGTACGTGGCCTTAAGAGAACCCCTGTTCAGTTCTACTCGGCTTGGAATTGAGGTTACTAGATTCAACCTATGATTGACGTCCACACAGGCAGCCGGGTATCGTCCGAACAAAAAGCGACGATTTCTGGATGTCAGGATAAAGGGTAGCATAATTAACTGTGTCGAGATTTCAGTACTGGACATGCACATTCCGTTTATGTTGGTTGTCTATGATTATAATATCCTAATTTACATGCCAAGATTATCTGGATTAACTTTTCGCATCCAATCCAACCACGTCTGCAAGGAAGCCTGGGAGCCATCCTGTCAGCTGGTATGAATCTGCCGGTCTATTCTCTAAAACTGTCCCGATTGGCCTTTCGTGTATTGCTGTAGGTTTAGTTTTCGGAGAGTATAAATTCTTGCATTTGTTTTTGTTGTAACAGCATAAAATTCCTGGAGTGGCGGGTCTTGGCCAGATATGAGTCTGTGTAGTTCCTGTTGCGTAGACTCGACTATCTGACTGTGCAGAACATTGAGTCATCAGTTTTCCCCGCTAGCAGTACACCCCGCAAGTATTCCCACAGATCAGAGTGACAGAGTTCGTGGTGTGCATTTAAATCTCCGAGCATTACCCGATTATTAGTTAGTAGGGGTTGGTATGTATTCACTGTTCTGAGATCTGTTTGGGACTATTTCAGGACCATCTTGGCACCAGTTCTAGATCATTTGGGACTAGCTTCACGCTATTTCGGGTTCATTTCGGGCCTATCTCAGGACCATTTAGGAACTGGCTGATGACTATTTCAGGATAGTTCACTGCTCTTTTAGGGCTATTTAGAGATTAGTTTAGGAAAGTATGAGGTCGTTTTTATGACTGGTAAGAGACCATTTCGGGACCCTTTCCAACCTGTTCGAGATTCTCTTGGGACAAGTTTATGACTTTTTGAGATCCGCTTCAGGACGACTTCAGATCAATTATGGAACTAATTCGACTTAATCAGGGTAGGTCGAAACTGGTCCGGGAGCGATTTTGAAATAGTGCTCAAATATTCCCGAAGTTGTTATGAGAAAGTCGTGTACTGGTCCTAACAAAAGGAAATCAAATTTTTGTTTAATTTCTACGCTGGCCTATTTACATACATATATGTAACTGATGTCTACACATCAAATTTCATGCGTGCCTGGTACTCGCGCTTTTTGTTCCTTGGGTGGTCTCTTGCGCTGAAGAATTTTAGTGCATTTGTCGTTTTCTAAAGCAATTAAATTAGTTAACCATTTAAAATCGAGACGCCCCCCTCAACTTATTTACTAACTTCTTTATTTCTCCAATTTTTCTCCCTACAGGAAATCCTCTCAGAAACATTTGGCATGTTCGTGCAAGTGACCAATATAATTTTGGTCGTCTTCCTGCCCATGGTCATTATATATCTCAAAGGCGAGACGTTCAGTTTAAGTAATGTCAAGAAGGCAATAAAAAAATATCGTTGAAACTACTAACTATCAAAATTCTATTGCAGTTGGCGCATCCACCGTATGTTTTATATATTCTTTACTCTTCCTAAAACTTTGGAGTTATGTACAAACAAATATGTGGTGCCGTCAGACCTACTATCTCAAACAGTACAATCCCCGCGAGCGACGACCAAGCATAACAGTAGCTGAGTTGCGTAAGTTTCTAAATCAAAAATTTGACGATTTAACGGTGTTTGTCTCACAGAAGTAAATTATTAATGAATTTTATAGGAAACGGTTTCACGGGCGATGAGGTTGACGAGGATATACCTAAGTTAGTACAGTATCCAGATAATCTCTGTTACAAAGATTTATTCTACTTTCTGCTTGCACCCACGCTCTGCTATGAGCTAAACTTCCCCAGAACTACGCGTGTACGCAAGCGTTTCTTGCTCAAACGCTTACTTGAGGTACTCTTCGGCTTCAATGTTATCATGGCGCTATTTCAACAATGGATAATACCATCTGTACGTAATTCGCTTATACCCTTCTCAAATATGGAAATCGGTTTGGCCACTGAAAGGCTGCTCAAATTGGCGGTAAGTTAGAGGTTTACGACAGAGACCGTAGCGGTTAAAGTGTTTAAATATAAATCATAAGTTAACCGATGCAACTTGGTTTTTATTTTTCAGATTAAATGTAACAGTTTTTTACGACTTTATTTTTTCGATCAAGAATAATCGCTATTTTTGAATGACTAATTTCGATATTTTTTTATTTTTGATTTTTATCTATCCGATTATATTATGACCGTTATTTTCGGATTTAACTTTTGAGATCACAAACTACTAAAAAAGGCACTAAAAGCCCAGTCTCTATTATAACGGTTAAAATGATCAAAAAATAAAACTCCAAGTAACTATTATTTAAAAAAATAAAAATCACAAAATAAAGATTAAATTTCACTGAAAAAATTAAAATCCAAATTTAGCGAATATTCTTGATTGAAAAAATAAAAATTACGAATTTCCAAGAATTTAGAAATCAAAATCTTGTTATTTAATGGTTATTTTCGGTCTCTGGCTTACTAGAATACCTTTTTGTATATACAATCTTATCTTTTTTATTTCCGTGTAGTTACCAAATCACCTAGTTTGGCTGTGCTTCTTTTACCTGCTGTTTCACTCATTTCTAAATGCTGTAGGCGAATTATTACATTTCGCGGATCGTAATTTCTATTGCGATTGGTGGAATGCCAATAATATTGATACTTTCTGGCGTACATGGAATATGCCAGTGCATAGGTAAGAAAAATAATAAAAGGGTATTTCTCTTGATTGCTTTACGCCTCCAAGATTTAGCGGGCTTTTTAAAAAAAATAAAAAAAAGCTTTTAATTTTAAAATATTCTAAGTACATACAAATCGCACGTTTAAAAATATACAAACAGATTTATTTCAAAATTTAAATTTTGTTGAAAAACGCAATCAAATTTCAATTAATTCATACGAAAAGACAGATGGAAAGACACATATCTTCGCCATTTTTGAGAAGTCTAGTCATCTGTTAGGCTGAAAATATTCTCTTTATTATATATTATTATTGCCTATATATTGCATGATGAACTCTCCAAAAACGTAAATTTTGAATTACCTCTCGATATTATTAAATTTGCGATATTTATTTAAAAAATTTTGTCTCCCAACTTTATTTAACTCCCTTTAGGTGGTGCGTGCGACATCTGTATGTGCCAGTGGTGAAAATGGGCTACTCACCCGCGCAAGCGTCTACTATTGTTTTCCTAATAAGTGCTTTCTTTCATGAATATTTGGTGAGCCGAAGACAAATTTGCATATCATTAATGCTTTGTTTGCCTTTATACTTAACATAACATAACATGCCATAACATTTCTCTCACTTCTCCCTTTCCGCAGGTGTCCATTCCTCTACAAACCCATAAAATATGGGCTTTTCTTGGGATGATGGGTCAAATACCCCTCTCTGCTGTATCTAAGTCGATTGAACGTAAAATGGGTCCACGCATGGGTAATATTATTGTGTGGGCATCGATAATATTGGGCCAACCGCTCTGTATAATGATGTACTACCACGATTATGTGGTGACGCACTACCATGATGCGTTAAATAGCACCGTTTACAATGAGGTCTAAATGAGTACTACGAGTATGCGTAATGCGTATTTTTTTGCTTTGTGGAGAGAAATTAGAACCGAGTACTTAGAATGCCATGCATGCAAGCTATTAAGTGTGGTAAATACATAGACAGAGTGAGATATAGACAATGCTTTTTTAAGCAAATTGTTAAACGGCGATCTGCAGTGACACAAATTGTTACTATAATTTGTAGGTTATATTTTTTTTTTACAAATTATAACTGATGCACAATACATACATATATAAGTTGTTTTTATGCTAAAGTTGGAATGAATGAAGAACAATAAGAAAACGGAATTTTGTTTCCTTGATAGGCTTTTAGACATAAATTGAATTGTTTTGCATTTAAAGTAGATTTTGATTGTTACTCGTAAGTTACATGCTTTAAAATAAAATATGTACATACATATAGTAGTTGGATTAAGTTTTGTAAATAAAACCAAGCAAAGAAATAAAATAAAAGCTGAAGAGTGATTTAAGTAAATATTTTGTGAGCGTTATTTTATTGTGATTTTATCACGCTGGAGGAAAACTAGATTGGAAGTGCTTGTGTAGTCATTTTTGTGGGCCGGACTATTTTCGTAAATACAAAAAAAAAATAACTTGTTGGTTTATGCCATTGTTGAAGCATTGTGTCCTTTAGTGATGTCAGTAAGAATGGTTATCCGTCCTTTTCTGCTGTAAGACCAGCCACAAAGTCATTGACTGACAGCCGTCCCACTTGGTCTATAGGTCATTTGTTATGGGAGTGATACACTCATCAAATTTCCTCAACAGATCACAAATCAGTGTCTCGCCTCTTTGCATATCCAAGATCTCCAAAGCGTTTCTAGCCATTTGTGTGCTATTTCGTTCACTTTAATACTGGTAAGGATGAAAAGCCAGCATATAGTTACGTTAACGTGTTACGAAGATGGCTAAAAACCACCAGAATACGGGAAGAGATCTTCTGAGATACTTCGCCGACCTAAACGGGGTTAGATCGCAGGAACACCACCTCCACGATGAGGCGAAAATGCTCCCAATAAGGGAGCACAACTCTGCAAGCAGTTTCTGGTTGGGAGCCACAGATGTGGCCACCCAAATAGACAGCTGCTTGCAGAGGAGCCCTCGCCAAGGCACATCAGGAGGCACCTATATGAACTGACGGACGAAGTCAGTTTACAGGCAGGCCCTGAACGGCATTCACAGGGACGCAGTCTCGAGTTATGTAGACTCAAGACCTGTGAATGCCGTTCTAGGCACACAAACACCGGACATTGACGCGACGGAGCTCCATCTGCCTCGGGAGACCAGGACAACAATAGCCCAACTCCGCTCTGGCTACTGCAACAGGCTAAATTCCTACCTGAGTAGGTTAAATACGGATGTGCCGAACAAATGTCCGGCATGCGGAGAGACCCCTCACGACTCGAAACATCTCTTCGCATGCCCGGAAAACCCCACAACCCTAACGGCGTCGTCCCTATGGACTGACCCCATAGAGGCTGCACGCTTCTTGGGGCTGCCGTTAGTGGAACTTGACGACAACGACTGAGATATTAGCCCATCTGGGCGGGGTTGTTGTAGCCGGTACAACAACAACAAGAGATCTTCGTACCTAGCCCGAGATCCAAAATGTTTATTCCTAAGAGAGCATATATCAGGTGATGGCATACACCATTAGTCTGATCGTAGATCATACATTTACTTAAGAGCTACCGAAATGATAAGATTCTAATTCCAAGTGATAGACAAGCAGCCTTTAAGATTCAGCTAGCATGGCCACATAGCCACAAGGGAATAGATGGAAACGGCATTGTGAACTGTCTTGCATGAGAGGCAGCAACCGATATTGCAATTGGTTCCACACCATTCCTTACTAAAGGTCCAATGCTGTTAAGAAATAGCGCAGAATCGAGAGAATCACATCGATGGGACTTACGTGGCGAAACTCACTAAGGCTGCGACGGGCGATGAGTTCCAACATTTAATCACCTTTCCGAAAGATAAACAAATAAGACTTAGAGGTATCTTTGCAGGACACTGGGCCGATGATATTTGCCGTTTTTTGCGGCTCGATCTAAGAGATGGCATTGCATCTTCCTGTTGCGTATAACTTCGTCTACAGAAGACAGGAGAGGAGTTTAGACTGCATGTGTTCCCAATTTTAACAAATTCTCATGTAATGAACTTTGTGAGTGATATAGGCTAACAAATAAGTAGAGAGCAATAAAATATATTTTACAAATATCTATATGCCTACGTTGACGTGACTCAGGGATATTACTGAACAATTCTCAACTTCACTGTTTTGAATCCTCACTCTTTAAACACCACCGTAGCTAGTGACTTTCGTTGATAGAAATTTACTATTCTTTATAAGACAAGCGGTATTCTCTGCACTGCAGCTGTATGTTATATGATAAGATCGCTTAGTACACAGATCCGCCGAGTAAAGACCAGCGTCNCAGACACCCGCTTGCAGCCGCACCTACTGGTGAACAGACGCTGCAGACTTCAGTGAGCCCTTAAACCGAATAAGTCAGAGTGGCCCCACCGAAGCTCCCTCTCTTTCTGCCGTGACCCAAGGCTCCACTCGGATTGGTTACCGCATCTCGCACATGGGTTGCTCACGTGGACCAGCGTCCACTCCTCTTTTCATATTTGAGCCATAGGTGTAGATGTGTAAGAGTCGGTAAACTAGCCCCCCAATCTGCCCTAGTTGGAAACTCTAAATTAATATTGAAGTGCAAATCCCAGAATAGCGTATAGTATAGTACCGCTATCAAAGTCCTCTTTTTTTTGTTTATCCAAGTCGGTACCAACGTGCCTATGCTTGCTTTCACGTTTTTGATTCCCGTAAACTAAGGTCAGTTTCTGAGGTATTTAGGTCATTTCATTGAATTTGGCTATATAGACTGGCGTTGAGCTTATCGCTCCGACCGAATTACATATAAAGGACTTCTTCAAGCCGTTTGAGACCGAACAAGGCTTTAGGCGGGGCCATTCATTCTCATATGACTTTTTTCAATTTGATGGTGGAAAGCGTAATGCGATTTGTCAATCTTTTTCGAAACGGCACCGTGCGCAGCAAAAGAACGATGCCAGTGACATGGGAAAGTCTATTTAATTATTATTGAGGTAACAAGTAGGCATGTTTCTTTTGATTATATTTAGTTCCGTTTATCCAATGTCTCATTAACCATGGTCCTAACCAATGGAATGAACAAGCTAAACCACAGTAAGGCTTCGGGGTTTTGATCTCATCCTGACGACTGTCGACCGTTCCGGTTATTCGACGTCAAAAGTTTGAGTTCGTGTTGGGGAGAGAAGTGCTCAATGTCATTTATGGGCGTGGAGTTGCAAACGGCGTCGCAAGCTTTTTACAGGACCAACGCTACTAGCATAGTCATCACGCTTCGTCGGGTTTGATGAAGGCATCACGGCAGACCAAAGCTTACTTACACCGGAGCTAAAGTTGCAGGTCTTCAAACAAAACTGAAATGCGGCAGCAAGGACGTCTGCTGGTATGGGAATAGCGGAGGTGTTATCTGTAACATCCGCGAAGTGGTGCCAATTAGGTATGGTGGCCCGTTCAAGTAGTCTGTGGGCTTCTGAATTAGGACGATTATAAGTAGGTGGCCTGATTCAAGCGATAGTATAAGTCGCCACGCTATACAACTTAATGCAAAGGACATGAACCAGAGCCGTTTTTTCTTTATTAGAGTTTATGATTACAAAAACCCTTACAGGGAATTTACATGATTTGACTTTCACAGGCGATTAGTTGAACCAAAAGTTGAACGGAAGTAGGCAGCCGACCAATTGAAGTTAACTTCATTGAAAGCGATTAGTTGAAAGGCCGTTTACACCAGGCGATTGTTGCTTTCAGCTAAAAATCGCCTCATATAAGTTCCCTATTACAAACTAGATTTACAGATATTTCTAACTGGCTGGGTATTAACATAAATAAAGGTCATAAGTTATCGGACTAAAGTTTGCTATAAAAAAAACTGAGATCTAGAAGGAGCGAAATCCAAATCGAGTCTTTTATAAATACAATTTAACTAGCTAATAGGCAGTTTCATCAATTTCAATGAAAAAATTTGAATTTAATATGAAAACTAATGGAAGTAAAAAAAATCAAAGAAAAATTAACTTGGTAGGTTCTCTTATTTGTATATTACCCAATAGTTTTCTTCCTTTTATTTTGTTTGTATAAAATTATTTCTTTTGCTCTTTAACGATTCTCGAATTATCGTGGTGGCGAGCTTAATAATTTTCTGGTAACAGGTAAACAATAAAAAGCAATCAGCTATTCGATATTTAACCAATTTTAAATCCGCCCACTGCCGAAAGGCATAACGCATATCGTCGTCTGGGTAAAAAAATTGTCGTAAGCGCCATTTTGACGATTTTTAGTTCTAGATGCAGTTATATATTTCGAAATAAGGTATTTAGATTGGTGTTATCAGTTTTCAGATATCTCCTTTCATTTCCGAGATATTGACGATAACTTTTTCGACAATTTTGTAAAAATTAGTTGGTGATGCAGTCATATTAAACTAATCAATATCTTACAAATGGCGTTCTCCATTTCTGGATATCTCCTTTAGTTTCCGAGATATTGAGTAAAAAGTGTCGTTAATTTGGTAGACATTTTGATCACATTTTGTCGTATTTTATACAAAGTGGCTGCCTAATTATGGACAAAAGACGCTTACGACAAAATTTTAAGAAAATCCTTCATAAGCTCAAAACTAATTAACAATACACATTAAAAATTAAATAATTTAAGAATTTTGCGAACTAGTAACATTTTCAGAGACCTTGGAGAAAATCTATCTTCGCTTTTATGAGAAATTGCATTTCAAACTTCAATCGCGATTTCCTACAACCTGCCGAAATTAACATGCGACAATCTTTCACCCAGGCGACGATATAAGTTATTAAAATTAATTTAATTTCTGTTACAATGTTTTTTTTTTTTATAGGAAAAACAGCTGCGAATTAACTGTTGAAAAGGACGTTCACTGCTAGCAGTTCCCACGTAACAACTAGCAGTTTATCAAAACTATAAAAATAGATGTGAGGACTCGTAATTTTTCACTGTCATTGTACAACGGTATACGCACAGTAAAATTTTTTCATCAAAGACACCTTTTGAGACACTGTATTCATCTCTAATTTCTAATAAGAACTTTACACTTTGGAGAATTACAGCACTAATTCGGGATTCTTTTTCGACCCTTATTCGGAAGTGGACAGTAAAAAGAAATAATTAAGACCAGAGTTGCGTTGATATTTCAAAAAAATTTGGGAATTTTTAGTTTTGTTCAAAAATTATTACAAAAATGTTAACGGACAGATTTTCTTTAAAAAAATATTTGCAATAAAAATAAAATTAAGGAAAACAAAAATATTGTTAAATGTAATGAGAAATGAGACACTCAATATTTCTAAACGGTTAGTAGCCATATATCTGTATTATTATAAA